GAGATGGTCGTTATTCAGACTTTTAGTACTTTTTGGCCTTTTTTTTATGCTTTTATATGCGACCACGCGGGGAATGAGGGGGTTAGGATGGATGGGAAAGGACAGCAACAAAAATTCATGGGGCCTCCTGATGACCTGAACGTATAGTCTTAAATTCTAGCGGAGGTTTAAAATGACAAGAGATAGTAAATTTGTCAGGCTGACTTAAAAGCCGGCGAACGGGGTCAACTATTTGACTAGACATAATAAAGCTCCGCTGTACGGCTGTAACAAGCAGATAGAGTGTATGAATGTGCTCAGTGAGATCATTTCACCACAAGAATTCCCCCAGTGTGGTTCCTTTTCTCAGTATTTTCTATAAAATAACTCGACTAAACCTGTGTTTTCTGAGCAGCAACCCGCAGAACTCTAAAATTACAACAGAGTGAGTCTTAAACATATATTTGACAGCGCATGATGAAAGAGCCGAGCTTCCTTTCAAGAGAGAACCTTTTGCACTCCATCTCCCACTTTTCCAAGTTAATGACAGTGTCACAGTACTCCTTGCGCTTGGCAGACTTTTACCCACCCATCGTCTCTGAAGCATGTAACCTCATTATTAAGCGGACTATATGAAAGGTGTCCAGAGACTGCACGGTTTGTAATGAATAGAAATGAGTCATGCTACTTAGTTTAATTTGACAAGAAGGCACTTGCTGTCAACGATAACACAATAAAGCCCGTCTCCTATTTTCACACCGTCGCCCGTCTCGTGTTTTCTCAAAAATCAACGTGTCCAATTTCACAATAAAATCCTCTTATTTCATCCAAGCCTCTCTTGAAGAATGCTTGAATTTTACCGTTTTTTTTACCTCCAACGCTTGTGTCTATCTGACGTCGGTTGACATTCGAGGAGCTAATGATGAGAGAATCACACGACAACACGCTGGTTTCATAGTTTAAATCATACTTTATTTCCACAGAAATGCAACCAGCAGACAGTGAAAACAATGGAGAACAGTACGAGGCTTCTCTTTTATCTTGAACTGAGATCAGCAGTGTGAGAAGCGTTGTGACCTGCGGCCTCTCGTCGACGATCCGCCATTTTGATGTTTTCACATTTTGCCTTCGACCCACGGTTTCAGGTAAAAACACGTCTGGAGATGAGCATGTAAACAATTTCGGATGGAAGCAACTTATTAAAGAACCAAAAGGTGCAAAGGAAGATTAGTCAAAACACCCCCGTCCTTTTATTTTTTTCCTTTCGGTTCGACCTTTATTGCTGTCTCACGAGGCTTCCTGGGAAAATAAGATTCTGCAACCGAGAGAGAGAAAAGAAAGAAAACAGCTACTGTAAAAACCAAATGAAGTAGCTTCTAAATCCAGTTAATGTCATTTAAAGTGCTTCAGATTAGAATTTTTAAAAAGCTTTATTTGCTTTTATTTGCATAAAAGGTTGCTTAAAAATATAACGCTCCCTCATCTTGGTGCTTCCGACAATATTGCACAGTGTACTGGAGACAATGTCGAACAGCTGAGAGCGGCTGACGTAGGAGATCAGGTAGTGATAAATACAGTGACCTTGCATAATGTGGGAAGAAATATGAACAGCTACACCGTGGCGCTTTATCCGCTAATACTTCTAGTTGGTATTTCTGCTACGGTGAACACGACAAGAGCAACACTCGAGAGAAGAAACTGCCGTAAAAGTACATCAGCAGGCTGTACCGCGTACACAGAAACCACAAGTCAAGTATAACAGCAGAGTTCCTCTAAGAGATAATTGAAGGCATATTTTTCAGTTTCAAACGCAGAATTCGGCTTTAAAACCATCATCAGGAGCAGAGAGGGGGGAAACAAGCTGATCCAGATAATGGTTTTAGATTTTTTTCAACCACAGCAGAAACAGCAGCTTACAGATTCAGCAGCGTTACTTGAAGTCGTATTTACAAATCCAATATCACTTCTCCTTTAAGCTCCATTTTGGGTCTCCACCACTTCGTTACAGCTCTATTGTGTGACTTTATTCGTCTCTTTGCAGTGCGGTTTCAGGCAGCTAGTGGTTTTTTTGTGTGTCGTAAAACAGCTGCATCCGGAAGCAACATTCATGTGAGATACGAGATGGGAAAGTTGTGGGGAAACAACGAGCTAAAGGGCGCTAAAATGCTAAAGAAATCCATCTTTTAAGTTATGTGCTCTTTTGTTAGCATACAAATATTGATCATAGCATACAGCGATAGCTTTATAGCAAAACCAGTGGCTTCAAATTGCAAATGTGCTGCCGGTTTCTTTTCTTCTTGTGCATTCGCTCCACCGTACGTTCTGAACATCAATGGATTTCCTGTTTACAAGTAATGAGCCTCCATTGACGTGCATCTTCATTGTATTGCAGGAAAGCACCTTTATAAATAGATCGCGTGTGCTAGGTGCCAGCAAAGGTTTCGGTCCCGTGTCGTTCGGGGTAATAACAACCTCCCCGTTGTGCAATGCAGCTTAATAATTTCTGTGCCTTCTTGCAAAATAAAGTAAATCAAAGTTCCGCATTCGAATTGATCCGAGTTTGCTGCAGAGAGTTTTTTTTTTTTTTTAGCCCAGTTGTGGTTTTGTTATAGCATAGCTAGCAAGACTGATTGGCTTGCCTGCTAAACTGAGCAGGGACATTGATTTGGAGATAGGGAATACAGCAGAGGGAGAGAAGGATGGCACTGCCCTGTTTACGCTGGCATGGGTTTGCCTTTGGCCTGGGCAGACACATCTTTCTCTCACACACACACTCATCCAAGAGGGGAACACTGGCAGCCAGAGGTGTCTGGAGACGCACACACACACACACACAAATACACACAGCGGGCAACATTGATTTCCTGTTTGGCATTACTTAGCAGTGAGTGACACAGCTGAAGGATCGGGCTATTCTCTGGACCCACAATGCAGACAAACAAACATTCTATGCATTCTGTCTGCTCTCCCTCCTCTCTGATAAACGCCCGCGCTGACGTTTTATAGACAGCCATTCACAAACAATAATGTCTGACAGAAAACAGCTTATCTTGATCATTACCACCTTAACTACTTGATCACTTGTTTTCTGCTTCTTTTTTTCTTCTTCTTCCTCCTCCCAGCTCCGTTTTTATTGTCTCTGGCTGTGCATCCTTCTGATGCTGCGTATGTATCTTCCCCCCTCCGTCTCCATTTCCGCTTTCATTAAAAGAAATGGGTTTTTTTTCTTGGCTTCGCAGAGCGGTGTTGACTTGCTTGGCTGGTTTGGCACAATGTTGAGCCGTCCAACAGGTAAACATGTTTTATCAGCCACATGGATCCTGACTCACAAAACACACACACACACACATACACACACACGAGCCTCTGCTGAGTTTTTTTTTTGTTTTGTTTTTTCGGGGTAATCTAGAGATGGACATCTTTTTTTGGCTACAGCAGACAGATGGATCAGTGTGCGCTTGGAGAGCTCATTTTGCGGAAAAAAAAACAACACAAACCCACTTTCATGGACTTTGTTATAGAATTCAGAGTGTGTGTGTGTGTGTGTGTGTGTGTGTGTGTGTAGGTGCGCGGCTGCCGGGAAGTGTGAACCGATGTGTGTGTGTGTGTTCCCTCTGAGTTTCACGTCTCTTTGAGTTTTGTCAGAGTTCCTGTACATGTGCATCTATAAAAACTTGTGTGTGTGATGTGTGTGTGTGTGATGTGTGTGTGTCCTCTCTGTCTATGTAGGGTGCATTATTGGACGCAGTAGACCGGACACCGCCAGAGGCATACACCAAGCGGTCACGCGGCGTGACAGAGAAGAGAGCAGAGTTGCTGTCAGAAGGCCTTTTTAACACACTGCTGCTCTCCGTTCGGGGGACATTTTCGGGAGCGTTTGACGGCGAAAAGGGGCGATAAACACAATTCTGCAAAAACTCCCACAGAAACGCCACTAAAGCCCCGAAGGCTCCCTACCTGAAAATACCGTGATAATACCTTTGATGTTCCCACAGAGACATGCAAGACAGTGAGAGGAGGAGAGTGACAGGAAGGTGGGGGAGAAAAAAAAAAAAGACTCTCAGCTGCACACATCTCTTCACAACTTACTTCATTTACTCCCAAATTCTTTTCTAGCGAATCAAGTGTCGCTTTTCTCCACCTGGGCTTTTTTATTTTCCATCAATTCACGATGAATGAATTCCAAATTTCAGCTTTGTGACATTATTTTGTTTGTTTTTGTAGTGGAAGTGAGTGACATTAAATCACATTACCGGCAGATTTTTTTTTGTTTTTGTTCATTTTAAAGTAAGAATTTTACAACTCAGATATTAAATTTGCTTCCTTGCATGTTGTCACCCCCTCTCATCGTACCTCCTTTTACTCGTCGCTGTTTTTTATCGAAGGAATGCACAAAGCAGCCGTGAAATTACAGACACTTCAGTGGATTTTGTGTGTGCACATGAGGTGCGAGTGAATTTCCATTGTGAGCACACTTAACTTTTTTTCTTTTTCATGCGGTTCTTTTCTGCTACATTATAAAAGCTAATTCCTCACTTGCACACTGTTTCTCCTAATTATATCTCCACCGGCAGCACGGTGTTATGTTTTTATGTGCGTATACTTCCATCATAGGTGCATTTACTCAGCGGGTCTGCGCCCTGTTCTGCCGTTATGTACCGAGCGTAGAGGGTCACTCAGGATATTAGTCTGGAGAGCTGAACTGGAAGGATTTGCAACTACACCGTGGAGCTGCTCTCCTCTTTTACACAAACATATTTTCATTCTGGAAGTGACAAGCTCCAGAGCGCTTTGATGAATTTGCTTTTCACTCTCCAGCCCCCCCTCCTTCCATTTCACTTTCACTTTTTTGCTTTCTTTCTTTCCCACTTCTTGTTTTGCCTCTGTTTTCCTCCCCTGGGCCTTCTATTACACAGCAAAAGGCCACAATCACGTCACCTCTATGTTTAAAACCAAATGCGCCCGTGTGTCAGAGAGCACAGCTGTGTGAGGACAAGTGAACTTAGACTTTAAAATGTGACATTAGCCGGCAGGGATTACAAAAGAAAACACACAAAAAAAAAAAGCTGACTTCTCTGAACTGTAACTTCCATGTGCGGCATTCATGTGCAAAGCTGATAAACTGGACTTCTTCTTAAAATAACCTCCATCTGAAAACTGTCACGCATCGCTGCACATTGCTGTGACAAGACGAGATGCTGCTACACACTGGATTTCAGTCAATCAAACATGATGGAGATGTGAGAGCTAATTTAGAAACAATACTGTACAGACAGCAGTCACAATACCGACGTCCCTGACACAGGCGGTCCCTGAATGGTCCGTAGGGCTTCGTGAGCTCAGGGTTTGTTCATTTGACACTCAAAAAAGTGAAACAATCGCGCTGCTATGATGGCTACGAGGAGAACGGGATGAAAAATCAATGTCAGAGTGATTCTCGTTTTCGGTTTTGAAGGGTGGATTTAAGCTCCTCAGGGAATCTTTGGCTTGGGGAGGCATGAGCGACTCAAAGGGATCAGGATCTTGGCTGACCCAGGGTCTTTGAGCGTCCCCTGGCTGGGCTCCTCCAGGCTGGTGCGCCGTGGATCCCTGCAAGGCTCTGATATCCTGCGAGGCTGAAGCAGCGAAGTACGACACAGACTGGGAGCCTGCACCTGCGGTCCGGTGTTGAAGCAGGGAAGGCCTCTAGACGGGGGCGGCAGCTGCTTGGTCTGGTTAGCCGGCGGCCCAGAGGAACGCCCTGGCTTCAGAGAGGCAAAGCCGCCAGCGCCCCCTGGCTTGAGTGCGGGGAGAGACACGCGCTTGTGAAGGCGAGGAGGCTGCAGCATGCGAGGGCAAGTCGAACCAGCAGATTCAGGAGTGGCAGAGTTCTGCAGTATCACAGCGGGGGCTTTCCACCCATGCTGTGCTGCAGACTGCGCTGCTGATGCTGGACCGTCTCTGGCAGTTATCCCCTGTGGAGCCCAAGAACCCAGGCAGTGCAGGTTGGAGCTGGGGAAATGACTCAGCTTGTCAGGGCCTTCTGGCTCAGACACATCTGCCAGAAGAGCTTCAAGAGGACGGTCAGCATTTAAACGGGTTCCTTCCTCCGATCTACTCCTTGTGAGGTCACTGCGGCCCGCGGTGGGGGGAGTTCTTACTGGTCTTCCCTGGTGGAGGTGCTCGTTGCGACTGGGGTTGAAAGGCTGTAGTATTTGAGGCTGCAGAGAACGAAAAAAAAAAAACATCAGTAAGACAAAAACTTAAATCATTGAGCAGTCAGTGTGTAATGACGTAAGACTCTGTAAGACCAGAAATGGACAGTTTTAAAAAAAATCTTCCCCTTTTGTAGTGTCTTTGATCCCCGTGGAAGTTTGGATTAATTCGCTGCCGGGGAGGAAATTTTGAATCAAAAAGCAAACTAAAAAAAAAATTCTGTCTTTCTATGACTTGTTTATTCTTCAATATCACGGCCCTGTTTCCATTTCTAGTCACTGAACTATTCCTGGAATAGAAGAAGCAAAGGCACAGAGGAAGCCCTTATTCAGCACTTAAAAACAAACAGAGGAGAATAACCTTGCCATGTGAGTGTCTGGAATCTACTGAAGTCTTTGAATCATTTTGCGATCGCTGCTGCGGCGGGGCTTCAAAACATTCATACTGAGAGCTACGATGCCTGCTGCCTGTGTAAGAACCCGCTGAGCCGTTGAACCGCGTGAAGTTTGGACCGACCGTGGCGTCGTCCTCCACTAGGGGACACGGGAGTTTACGAGCACAAAAAGCACCTGTAGGATCCAATACAGTCGTTTTCAGAACTTCCACAATTACTGGCTTTGTGAAGCTTATCGTGTTCGACTCTTGAGGTGTTAGAGACAAGCTAATTATCCGGCGCTACAATAAAAGAGCTAAACTGACACGGACTCAACTAAAACTCATTTGTTTCCTGTAGTGAATTAGTTTAGATTGTACAAGTGTTGCTGACGTGTCTGTCTGTTTCCTGCCTTGTTTGTTTAGAAGCAGCTACTGAAAAGCGAACGGATTCTCGGTATTGTTGCGCTCGCCTTTTTAAAAGAAATGGAGATAATTTTGCTTTTACAAGAGGATGTATAATGCCGTGAGATAATTGTAATCTCTTTATCCTCTTACACAACAATTCTGGGCCACGTTTGCTCATAAGCAGCAGACTGTAAGATCAGACAGATTATTAAATCCATCAACCTGCCAGCAAGAGCAGTTACACAAATCAAAAAAAAAAAAAAAAGTCAATATTCAACTTCACTATTCAAGTACATTTTCTAAAAAGCTTGTGACCCCCAACATCTTTAAAAGTACTTTAGTTTGTGACTGAATCGGTAATCTGTATCGATCTTTGCGCTGTCAGTTTTTTACCAGCAGAAATCAGAGGACTGGCCTTTGGTCATCTCTGTCCTCGGAGCAGAGCCTATAGAATCTAAATCCACGTGGACCCATCAAAAAGCCGCTAAAAGGTCTGAACTCGGTTTTTAGCAGACACACGCTCGCTGTGAGTCGGAAGCAAAAGGATCTCAAAGGATGTGAATATATAGCTGTGCTGGTCAGGTTGCTGTGTCCCTGTCTCACATCAGTCATTTGTATTGCCGGTGTTCGGCGGATGTCCGGGGCCACAGCTCCATCTCCTGGTCCCCTGCCACAGTGTGTCCACGAGGCCGTTACAAAAGCCCCGTCCACCTCCCAGTGTCACTGTGCTGTTGCATGTTGTTGTTTTTTTTGAGAAAAGAAATCTTTTATTTAAAGTTGAAGTACTTAAAAACTCCTAAAAAAGAAAGTTTCTGTTGTGTCTTACAATGACTCTGATTAGTCAGCCACTCAAACCATGAGCAGACGTTGCTGTTTTAATTATATATATATATCTTGGATAGAACTCACTCCTACTGTGATTCAGTGCGAGAGCACAGATTACAGGTGGTATCAAAAAATATGACGGAAATTATCAAAACGATTATGCTCCTGTCTCAGAGCAAAACAAGCCAGTACATTATAAAAACAGGCTTTGTACTATGTTTTAGCTAAGGGTGGAGGAGTTCATGTTAAATACAGACTGAAATGTTCACTGTCATAACCATATCAGCAACATATGACACCTTTAACTGCACGGTTTGTACTGACTGCATACTGTATATTTATAGCCGCCCCAGCTGGAAGAAGCCACGCAGAGATAGCGACACGCTGCGTCTATAGGGTCACAGTCAGTAATTATTTGCATCTACAGCTGTCTGCTACAGATACTAATAATTAGCTGCAATTATTTTGAGCTCTTCAGAACGCTGCCAAGAAGTAAGTACCTCAGGCTAATAATGATAGCCGTCACTTTCGCAGAAAATCCAACCAAGAAACGTGCCAATTTGTGACACCTGGAAGATGTCGAGATCATCGATCTCATCTCCGGCTTCACTCGGTTTGAGGAATGGTTTGCGATTAGAAAAGCAGCATGCAGGAATGTGAATGACTGGACTGAAAGGATGTAAATAATCCAGGCTGGTTGTAGGAAGACAGGGTGACTGCAGCGCATAGGCAGATGACATTTGTCAATATGTTGGCACGTTGTTGGCTTGTTTTCTCCAAGATTCGACTTAATGTGTTTGAATATAACCTGTGGAACGAGTGTAGGAATGTGTTTTTTTTTTTTAGGTTCGTCTTTTGCTTGTTGTGTTGAACTGCTTCTGACAGGGGAGTTAGAATGAAGGCGATTGCTAAGGACAGCAGTAATGTGTATTTACATCCAATAACACGGGGTTATTCGTAAATGTTCTTCCCTTCAATATGCTTCAACTTTCAGGGTGAACACTTAGAATAGTCAAACACCTGTTACACAAATGAAATCTAGAAAAAGAAATCCACATAGAAGGATTTAGCAAATCATGCACAGCACTTTCTAATTGAACAGGAGGGATCAAATTAAAAGACGGAATAAACAAAGAACAGAAAAAACTATTTTCAATACCCAACAAAAAGCACTTTCAAAGAATCTCACAACCAAAAGAGCATCACTGTGACCCCAAACTCTCACCCATTAGGAAGAGCAGGCTGAAGTCAAAACTGAAAACCCAAAAGCAAATCATGCAAACGCAAATGTAGAAGGACATGCTTCTGTCATGCCACATGTCGCCAGACCACAGCCCAGCGTGCAGGAGCTGGGGTCTGACAGGGCGGCATGTCCATCTCATGGTAAAGAAAGGGTTACTGTACCACGCCGTGTCAGTGAAGTACTGCACTAGGTGCTCCACTCCTTGCCATAAGCATTATGCATGAGGAGGTAGACGGGAGAGAACGTAAGAGATTCATGTTCAGATTTGCGAGAGACACAAGTATTAAGGATAGAAAAGGGTTAAAAGACAGGGAGAGGGGATGAAGTGAGATGTAGGAGAAAGAGAGAGAGAAGAAAACGATAGAGACACGTAAGACAGATACTTATTGGGCTGGATAACTTTCAAATCCAGAATTAAGACCGAGGCCCTGCTTGACAGAAAAGGTCAAACATTAGCTCGACAAACAAACCAATTTAGTACGAAATATAATTACTGCAACCCTCCATTCATTCCAATTATGTCTCTATTTTCTATTCTACAGATCTTTATTGCTGGCAAGAACTCTGTTGGTTTGTTTACAGCCGGGGCTCCCAGTGGGGGGTCAGAGCATTAGTGGTTTATCCAGTGAAACAAAAATACACTTGTTTTCCCTCCAGTCGTTGTTTTTCATCTTATATCTAAAAATGACAGCACACTGACTATGCTCTCGTATGTTTCCGTGTCATTTCCACTCGCCTCCTACACATTTTCTCCAACTGTGCAAACATTCTTTTGATGTGTTTTGATTAATTAGGCCACGCAATCAAGTGGTCAGAAAAACAAAAGGCACTTTGAACGAAGGCTGTGTTGTATTCACATATTTGTCAAAAGAGTCTACAAACACAAGTGATATTGAAATAACTTGAAATATACCACAAAAAAAAAACAAAAAAAACCCACACATTGTGCCACAGTTTTTCCACCTTCCTTCTCGATACAAAGCCAAGCCCCACCGAGATAGCTCAAAGGAGCCCAGCATGGGTTCTTTTCTTTGTTTCTTTCCTTATTTTGTGCTCTTCACTCTCACATATGTGCATTTTTCTGAAGTCTATTTACCCATTCTCATTCTCTTTACCTGCCTGCGCTACTCGCTACCTTGTCGGCACAGCGCAATACAAAAGCTTTGTTGTGGGACTCACTGAAATAGGCGAGGTGGCTGTGACTGTGCTGTCACTGTTTCGGCAGTCCTGTCTTTGTGAGCGGTGTCAAACTGTTTTAGTCTACAGAAGCATGTTGCAGGATTCACTTTTATGTCAAAAGCAAAGATCATGTGTAAGTCATTGTTAAAAAATAGACCCCGCATCCCCTGATAGAGGGACTGGTATTGATTTCATTGCTACTATATATATATATATATATATCTGCACTTTCTGTACTGCCAACGATGGTAAATGTAATACTTTTCAAATTATGTCTACAATCTATGGAGGCTATTAAAATAGAAACACAGGTATCTGCAGGTTTGAGGGAGAAAACAAAGTAGGATTGGACACCAGAAAATTAATTGCTAAGGGATAAGAAGTCAGTCTGTGTTTAGTAAAACAAACAAGAAGAAGTATTCTGCAAGTTACTAATCTTGTTCCAAATTAATCTAAAAGTGGGCATGCAACACAAACAGTCCTGTAACTACACACACACAAAAAAACAAACACTCCTACTAACTGGATCAAAAATGGTTCAGCGTATTAGAGGGTTTCAAGCAGAGACAAACTTTTTCCAGGCTATTTACAGACCGCTGAATATGTTGCGTTATGGAAAAGATAGAGAAGAGGCTGCGAAGGATGTTAGTGACTCACTCTGTCTGCGCTGGGGCATGCTGGTACGGGTCAAGCCCTGGTGCTGTGCCTGCCACGGGGACAGCAAGGGGGTGGGCAGCACACCCTACGCAGAGAAAAACACAAAGGACAAAAGGCGTGACATACCAGAACACACACACGCACACGCACACACACAGGCATGCTCACATGGAAAACAACACTCACAGGAATGAACACATTGTTAATGAGTATGGATAGTCCAATTAACACGGCAGACATGCCCACGTACAGCAGCACGCAAGAGACTGATGCATCACGTCAGTGTTAAATCCATCATTCCCAAGGTTTCGTTGAAGTAGA